AGTTACCTTCGTACAATTATATCTTACATCTAATCTTATGAAAAGTATATTTTAATATACTTAACAGTGCGACTTTGATAGTTGACACATAATATAAATGATAAAATGTGAATATTATTGAATGATTTTGTCACTCGTACAACTTTCAGGGCCGCCCAGAGGTTGGCGGGGGCCCGGGGCAAATTAATTTTTAGGGGGCCTTATCTAAAAAAATTTTTCCGGAAAAATATTTTCCGGATCTTATTTTGGCGACCCCCCCCCCGTCGCCAAAAAAATTTCGGTCAGTGTACCATTTTAGGGGTAAAAAAAATTTTTTCGGATCCAAAATTTTGCCGGACGAGTACGTTGCAAACGCTTTCGATTGACTTTATCTCATTTTTTTAGGCCAAAATTCAGTACTTAGCCCAAGAAAACAGATATCTTGTCCTTTGCGCGGAAATATTTAACACACAAAAAAGGCGGGGCCCCTACAAAAATTTTTCAGGGGCCCCCAGCAACTCGGGGCCCGGGGCAAATTGCCCCCTTTGCCCCCCCTCTGGGCGGCACTGGGTTTGACTCGGACCACTCTTCAATTTCGGACACTGCATGTTGGATATCACTTGAACCAAATCTGGTTACTGCTTCATATACCGTTAGATCGTCTACGAATTTTACCTCGTCTAAACAACGTGTTTTTAGATCGTTTATCATCAATATAAATAACCACGGACCCAGCTTGGTTCCTTGAGGGACACCAGCTGGGACATTCCTCCACTCCGAAAAACAGTCGTGTCCCAATTTGGTTCGTTGTTGTCTGTCACTCAGGAAATCTGCAATCCAACTAACAGTGGAGTCAGGGATTTCGAGGGATTTCAGTTTAGATAGGACGATGGTGTGGTCTACATAATCGAAAGCTTTTTGGTAATCAACCAAAACAATCCTTGCTGAGGCTCTAGCACCGTCTGTTTTCTCCGACCATTTATGAATCATTTTAATAAGCGCCTGGTTTGTGGACGAGCCGGAAATAACACCATATTGATTTACATCTAAAACTTTAAGGATTGCGGGTTTTAAATGCTTAATAACCACGAATTCCTCGGCCACTTTAGAAAGTAGAGGAGTTAATGAAATGGGTCTAAGATGTTGGTTAATGTCATGAGCTGGCGTCACCTTTGGGACTGGGATGATATTTGCTTGCTTCCAAATTGGGGGTAGTTTGTTTTCAGTGTAGGAACTGTTTATGATTTTCATCACTGGTAATGAGAGAATCATTGCATATTCTTTAAGAACCCAAGACGGGATATTATCAGGCCCACCTGACTTCCAGGGATTGAGTGAGTTTAAACAATTCCAGACGTCCAGTTCAGACACTGTGAGGACATTTGAAATGGAGTCGTTGTTTGGTACTGTGATTTGCAACGGTTGAAACTCTTGGAGTGGTTCCAGGAACTTGTCATTAATTTTATTTGCAACCTCGATATCACTTAAGTTATCGAGGTCATCAATTTGTAAATTGGAGCGAAGATCAGATTTGGTGATTGTATCCATTCCACTTATTTTTTTAACTGCACTCCACCAGTTCCTAGGCTTAACATGTTTCAGGTTTTTAATCTTGCAATCATAGTACGAGGACTTGCATTTCTTTCGTTCCATGTTAACTACATTGCGATAATATTTAAATTCAATACTGTTCCCTGATTGTAAGGCTCGCTGCCGATTCTTAATCGAACGTTTAAGTTTGTCGGACATCCAGGGGGCATCATTATTATGTATAGTCCTGATTTTTATCGGCATGATTAAATTAAGGGAATCAGATACAATTTTGTTAAAAAAGTCAACCTTTCCCTCACAAGAGTTAATTAGATCCAAACACGACCAATCAATTGTTGAAAGAACTCTCCCAAGGGCCATTTTGTTGCTTGGTCTAATGACACGTGATTTAACTACTCTTGGTCTATTCGTATTAATATTTCTGATCTTTGGAAAAAGCGATATCGTAAAATGGTCAGATAGACCAAAGGGTGCCATTTTCTCGGGATTATCGAAGAATTGAGATATATTAGTCAAAATCACATCCAATGTTCTCTCACCTCTAGTTGGAAAATTTACAAGTTGCTTCAATTTAAACAAACGAGATATACTGAAGGTCCTTAATCTATTGAGGTCACCCATGAGAATGATTCCACAGTTTGAATGCATAGCTTCGGCTCTGGTTAGACAGTCAATGAGATAGTCAATCATAGCTAGGTTATCAGAACCTGGAAGGTGATATATCGCAGCAAGAACAATTGATGATATCCCTCGAGGCAGTTTTCTCGGGCGCAGTTTTAACCAAAGGACCTCAAAAGATGGACTAATTAAATTAGACAGGATTTCAACCTTAATTTGGTTTTGAACGTAAACACAAACTCCGCCATGTGTTCTTTCAACTCTGTCTTTTCGAATTATATTATACCCTGGGATGTGCACTACAGAGTCAGGAATAACATGCTTTAGCCACGTTTCTGTAAAAACAGCAATATCAACTCCAGTTTTCTTGATAACTAGACGTACTTCATCAATTTTAGGTGACAGGGACATTACATTTGATAATATAAAACTTGGAACAAACATTCGATTACTATCATTGCATTTCGTCGTGGGATTAGTATGAGAAATCAATATTAGGTTATTGTGTTTCATTGTTTTAGCACCAGCATTCTCTCTTAAGGTATTATTACGCAAGGTTATTCTCACGGGTATATTATATGATTCATAGTTATTATTCATAGGGACAAGGTTTAAACTAGGGTCTCGGCATACGATACTCGGTAAGGGAGGTAGTTGTTGTTGTGGTACTGTCGGCATTGGGGGGACCATGTGCGAGTCTTCATTAGGGGCTGTATATGCGAATAAAACCTGGGGGGATGGTAAAATGGGCATTCCATCGGTGGAAGGATTTGATAGGGATGCAAAGTTCGTTTGTGAAAAGGGAATGACCGGTCTTGTTGCTGATGAAATCGGAGGTATTGCTGTGGGCCTATATTATGAGAAAAATTGGAACCGTTTAAGCAATGACCTTTCTTGCACAGGAAGGGGCATGGCACCAGATGTTTCGGAGTCGGATCATTTTGACGATATTTGCCATTGGGGTCATTTAGGTTGGGAGTGTTAGAGGCATCCGCATCATCAATTTTATTCGTACTCGTTTCATTCTTTCCATTTGAATTGCTAACTTCACTTATGTTGGTTTCATTCGCTTCATTAATAATTTCATTGGTATTATGGTTGTGCAATAATTCATGGATAGGATTTGAGTGGTTATCAATTTGATTGTTTACCTGTTTCTTCACAACATCCTCTCGTAATTGAGATATAGCTTTAGTAATATAGACAATAGAGTCTGATATTACGTGTATAGCTTCACAATTGATTTTTTGGCCAGTTTGAATTTCATTAATACTAGTATGAACATCTGAACTTTTGTGACAACAGGATTGTAAATTAGTCAAGTCCGTCTGACATGAACTATTAGAGTAATTTGTATTTCCACTTTGGATTATAGAATCAGTGTTTTTACAAAGCTGGGCACATAGTAAATAAATAATCTTACCCGCTTCTACACCTTCGATATTGAGTATGCTTTTGGCCTTCCGCCATGTAATAGAGATATTTTCACTGTTAAATATTTTCTTATCACCGCCAGGCTGCTCCCAGTTTCCATCAAGCTTTAGTTCGTTACTCGTAAATTTCCTTAAAGAATCAAAATCCCCTGTCCAGGCAATTGACAGATTATCTAGCAAGGAGGTCATGTTTTCGTATATCTTCCACGTCAGACAGTAATTGGCTTGTTTCAAGATCTTTTAAGCACAGGATGTCCTTTATTTATAGTATCTTGACGATTGCTTGTTTGGGAATCAAAACTTATAAAATTTTGACGTTATCAGTTTATAATAGTTAAAAAACAGATAAAAGTTGTAAAATTTTACGGAGCTAACATTTTGCATCCGCCATCTTGCCGTGCTTATCAATATCTATAGTTCACGAGATGGTTTGACATATCGCTTACCGGTAGAATCATACCATGCAGTCCAATCAGCAAGAGATAGGTTTTCAAGTTAGGCTAGTCGTTTTGTGTAACGGACAACTAAACCTGATGCATAAACCTTATCAGATTCATCTTCCATATCATTAATTTCTTGCAATGATTTTATCCCCGAGCCGGCGGCGCGAAGCGCCGTGCGAGGGTACTAATCCCCCCCCCCCCTCCGGCTATTTACACCCGGGGAAACGAAAGCATTAGCGGAGTCTAAAGTTCATCAAATATCGCGGGCGTCGGTCACCAACGATGGGTGGTCATCCTCACTGATCTCAAAAATATGGCGGACTGTCATGAATAACGGACACTGATTAGTCCAATTTAAAGTTTGCATTATAACGGCTGTATGACGACAGCGAAATAGCAAACATTTCTTGATTTGATGAGTTGATGATTGATAAATTTCTTGCAAATATTCTTCATTTTTGCTGGTATTTCTGCAAGATTTTGTAAATTTCAAGAAAGAAAGGGCGAAAGAATCAGCTAAAAGAAGGGAGCCGACGTTAACGAAGGTAAGTTTGTTTTAAATATTGATTTTATAATGGCTTTAAAACCCGACGGCCTTTGCGTATATGAAACAACTAAACAAGACAGCATATAATTTCAGTGTATCTTTAATATTGATTCCCTTTTTTATTATATTGAACTTTTTAAATAAAAATAAAGCAAAGTTATTTGCAAACGAGAATTTGAAATCATTTTATTGCAAACTCAAAGTTTATCGATAAAGCCATTTAATAGTTAAAGGCAGTTTAGTTTTATAAAAGAACACTTTAAAACGTTTTGTGAATTGTTTGTGGTTGAATTTTACCTTAAATTGAAGCTTGTATTACGTATAATTACATACCTAACATAAATATGTTGGGAAATTGATAATTTTGTAATTAAAAGTGATATTTTTAGGCGATTTTCATTTGTAAGAATATTCTTAAAAAATTATCGTGTTACCATGACAACTACTTTAGATACTTCATGTTCGGAAAATACAACGGTTTTGTCAGCAAGGCGAGGGTTTCTGCATGCATGTATTTTCTAGTAGTAATTTAACTCTATCTTCAGGGGGTGAAGTATTTATAAATACCACTTGGCGAGAAGATTTCCTCATTGGAATTTGCAGTACTGCATGTATGTAGACTGCTTCTTGTATTGCACACCATGCACTGAGACATGCGGCATTATAATTATTGACTCTGAACTCTTTTGGTTTTCTTTTTAAGAATATAGTGGGTGTCTTGAGACTGGATCGAACAGCTAGCAAATAGATTTGTTCTGTTAATTGAAGATTTACCAGCAACTGGTCAAATGTAATGTCCTCACCGCCTATTTCATATCATTCAGATGTTTCTCTATAAATTTCCAAGTATCTTTATGTTGGTCAAGTTCATTATTATCAATATCATTATTCAATGGATACAGAATTTTTGTCGAGCTCATAGGAGGTTGCGGGTAATTGAAACGACATTCACTTTTGGATTTCTTTCGACATAACATATGTGAGAATGGCGATGAATTTGCCTGTTTATACGAGTGCAAGCAAATCAGAATTGCCAGTTGGCTTTTCATATGCGATTATCTTATCAATGAATGAAACAAGATCACAATCAAAATCTTAACAGAAAGAGAATTGTCTAGCCATATCAACATGTGAATGTAAGGTGAACTTCTTCGTTGATATTCAACTCTGTAGGAGTCCAATGCTCTGCCAACTGAGCTACGCAGTCAAGTCGTTCGAGTTGATGATATTTCGAATCAGTGTATTCTAAGATATCATGATATTTGTGTGTGTTGGTGTTATGCACTCAGGTGAATATGATGTTTGTGATGTTACTCTGAGTAATTTGGACTCAGGACTCTGTACTGAGGGTTGGAAACTCTTCCTAGCTCGTTTTTGTTTCTATATTCTCTTACTATATACTGTTTCCTTTTTTGTTTAGACTCAGGACTCTGTATACTGAAGGTTGAAAACTCTTGCTAGTTCGTTTTTGTTTCATATACTCTTTCATGTACTTGATTCTATTTTGCCTAACACATGTGCTTTGTGTTGACATGGAAGAACAAGGTAATGTCGACACATAATGATACTCGTCTATATGACCCAAATAAATATCAGTTAGTTGCCGTGTTGATGATACTGGTTGTATTTTAGTGCACTCCTGAAACTGCACATGTGTCTCAATCATAAGTTTTAATTTAAGCAGGTCAGCCACAGCTTGTATAATCACAGCATCAGCCCATGTACCATGCATATAGACATACTATTAAGATATTCTAACCTATAGAGTATTAAGTGTAAAACTTTCAATAAATAAAAAACTCTCAGGATTAACTCGCAGATATGCAATACTGGCAACTCTAACTTCTAAGTGGCGCTCAGGGTCACCATATAACTGATGGGACACAGCTCGAAGGAAGCAGTCACCATATCACCATCAACATCAACTGGTCTCAATTGAAAACATTGTAATCTTTGTTCTAACGCTACTGATTTGGTGGCAGCCTAAGTATTTAGAATGTTAGCACTTTGAACCGGACTAGGATTTAATTCATTATATCTCCTCAGTGACAACAATAGTTTCTTTTGAGATATGTTATGTTGACTAACAAAACAATTATTTCGTTCTATGACCACTATTGGTTGACTGTTAATTTGTTCGCCAATGCAAACAATCACATGAAGCTTAGAACATTCTGTTACTTTAATGTTTCTGTGAACTAAATTACCAAATGCTTTAAAATACCCAAATGACTTTGCAAAGATATGCTGCATATGCACAAATTTAAAACAACATTGCTTGTAATTTCTAGCTATCATGTTTAATTAAAATAGATGACTTTGGTGCAGATCTCAGCAGGTGATGCTTCAAATGCGTTCTGTTTTTCCTCTTTCTCATAGCCAATATAATCTTAATCTTTAAAGGTAATCTAGAAGGTTCACGGTCCCTCTTAGATCGAGTTATGTTTTGCTGTTTTGTCAATTTTCTTACAGAAGATCTGACATAATTTAGGCACACAATAATCTGAGTTCATAACAGTTTGTTTTTTCTCCAAAGAGAATTGTTGCCACTTTACGGTTGGTCTTCACATGGGGCTATTCATGTCCTGTTGACCATACCTTCAACCATATTATGTAGTGGTTTAATCTATTTTATGTGTGGTTGTAAAGTTAATAAATATAAAAATAAAAAAATTTGTTCTCCGAAGAGAATTATTTGATCTCCGAAGAGATTGATTTGTTCTCCGAAGATAATTATTTGATCTCCAAAGAGATTGATTTGTTCTCCGAAGATAATTATTTGATCTCCAAAGAGATTGACTTGTTCTCCGAATAGAATTATTTGATCTCCAGAGATTGATTTGTTCTCAGAAGAGAATTATTTGATCTCAGAGGGAAGAGATTGGTTTGTTCTCCGAAGAGAATTATTTGTATGTCTCCGAAGAGAATTATTTGATCTCTGAACTCCGAAGAGATTAATTGGTTTGTTCTCCGAAGAGAATTATTTGATCTCCAAAGAGATGATTTGTTCTCCGAAGAGAATTATTGGAGCTCGTCAGAGGTTAATCTATTCTCCGAAAAAATTGTTATTAAGTTAATATTTCTTTCCTAAAACAATATAAAATATGTCTCCCTGTAAACAACAAAGGTTGCTGTAATTCATACCAGAATTATAGGCTTGTTATTTCTCCTCCGGAAGGATTTACTTTCTGGTTTATTTGTCCTCTCAAGCAGGGGCGGACTGGCTCCCTCAAGGGGGCCCGGGCGATTTGGCTAGATGGGGGCCCTGACCCCCCCCCCAAAAAAAAAAAATACCTTATCCTATTTTAATTTTTAGAAGGCACTTTTATCATTAGTCATTGATCTGCAAAAATGTCATTATTTTATAAAAGTAACTTACGCAAATAAATTATAAATGAAATATGAATTTATGTTCTTAACGTCAAAATAGAGAAAGGAAATTATTGTCTACTCTTCAATGTCTTCATGGCGTTAGGAGCCGTCTCATTGCTAAGGAACTGTTGGCAAACTGGTTGATGATCTGTTCATTTGATATGTCATTGATCATCTGTTTATGCATGTACGTCAGCATAAGTGCCTCTAATTTTTCCTGCCCAACGTTGCTTCTTAATATAAATTTAAGCGTCAAGAAACGTGTTTCGCAGTCGACTTGCGTTACACTAAGCGGTACTAAATACTGATAAGTTGCATATAGTTCAGAATACGTAGATAAGTTGAGACCATATTCATAAAAGCGTTTGAAATCGCAGCTGAAACATGACCTGCAAAACTTGTTTCTGCTTACAACTGCATGAATTGTTTCAACATGCATGATTTCCAATCTTTTGGCAAAGACTCTCTAATGCATTTTCAGGCATTCTCTGTCTGTTCTGCATTCATCAAATTGGCAAGGGTCCAAACAGGAAAAATCCTGGTAAAGTCCTTGTGGTTCTCAAATCTACTATTGGTGCTTGTTACAATTTGATCCATTACGATATTGAAAACATTCACTTGATAGTCCTCGTGAGCATGCATCCATCGCCCTATTGTCAGTGTCATCCTTTTCACCGAAATGTAACTTCCTTTTTCGAATTCTTTTTGTCCCTTTGGATAGTAGACTTTCTTCTACTGCAACATCGGTATCAAAGCTAACCCGTTTGCTCTTGGCGTTCTTTGCGACCTGCACATGTTGCAATATTCAGGACAGTTGGAAAATCTCTGCTGATACTCTCAAGTTTTCCAATAGCAGATTGAAACATTCTCAATGATTGAAGAAGATTTAAGCCTCACGTTTGAAGGCATTCCGAGAGTGGTGCTGTAATTGAAAAGTTGCCCAGTTGCCAAGATTTCAAAGCTAAATTCTAGGCGGAGGATTGCGCGGGTCGCGGACCCTATAAGATACTAACATGCAGTGTCGCCCCATCAATTTTTCAGTATATAACTAACTTTATATTGCTATAAATTTCAAATTTGCGCACTGACCCGAGAATATCTTCGAGTTAATCACGTTTGTCTGCAGCTGAAAACGCCCACTTATCCCATTTGGTGCTCCCCAAAGCCATCCCTTAGTATCTTTTTGTGTATATATAAAAGAAAAATACTGGGGAGAAAAGATCGCAGGGGCCCTTAGTCGGGCGAGAAAAGTGGTTGGAAGCGTGCTTCCTACTTCTCATGCTTATGATTTGGAGCTTCTAGCCATTTATTTAAATGACATTTAAATTAAGCCAGTTTGAAGGGGCCCAAAACGGCCTTACAAGCAAGGGGCCCACCGGGCATTTGCCCGGTGAGCACGACCGGCCAGTCCGCCCCTGCTCTCAAGGCCAACACTACAGTAGTAAAGACACTATCAGTATCAAATAGTGCTTTATGCAACTCACAAAATGTGCTATCATTCTTACTAGTAAATCGGTTAGAATACATGCTTAGTATACTTACCAGAATACTAGGTTTAACTTTTGTCTTGATATGAAAAGGCGACGAAATATGAAAACTTTCCAAATAAAATATCACAATAATATCAGAAAATTTTCCAAGTTTAACTATAGGGATCCAAGGATAGTGTAAAGATTCAAATTGAAAAAGAGACTGCAAGAACTGTATCATTTACAGTTACATTTCATCATTACAGAGCTACAGGATTGCGCAACCTCGTTCCCAGGGAGCCTGGAGAACTTGCAGGATTGCGTTGCAGATCGGAAGAACAATTGCCTCGTGTGAGTCGTGCCACATGGTCTAAAAGGCTAATACTATTATAATCCCTGCTCTTTGGTTATAGCCTATTTCTACAATTAACTATGCTGTAAGCAAACAAAACATCGAATGAGAGACACAATTCTGTATTTCGCTATTTAATGTCTGTAATCAGGTTCACATGAATCTTCGTGAGAGAATATCTTATTAACGTTAGTTCGCCAAAGAATCAGTTCGGCGAGTTCGCATATTAGTACTTAAATGTGTGATCTGAACTGAGAGAGAAAAGAAGAAAAACACATTACGTTGAAGCCACGATCATCATTTAACCAACAAGAAACGAAAATATATGGCAAGAAATGAACATTTGAAATGACCGCGTAGACTGGTTATCGACTGTCACCTCCTGATATAAAAAAAAACAAAAGCTATAGACTGTGGTAATGCATGAATCTTCGTTTTTCACTGTTAATCATGGTCATGGGCGTTGTGTAATTCTCTTGTAACTTCACTATGATGACTGACAGTTCACAATGTATGGTTGGGATCTAATACTCGTGTGCTGGCTTCATATTGCTGCTATTGCTGCCGCCAAATTGTTAGCCACACTTTGAATGTTGAATATTTGAGGGTCGTATAATCTGCATTCAATATGGTAATGATCGCACTAAAATGACGATGAAAATTAAATTAAATGAGTACAAGAATACTGTAGCTATACATATTTTATATCAAAAAGATATAAAATTCATTAAAACTCACCTTCTTAAAGCCTTGGAGTCACAGCGAGATTGCTGTCAGCGAGACTTCTTCTGCCGCTATATAGTAAGTAGCGACATTGACCCCTCGGAATTCGAGGGGCAACTCCGCGGAAATCCAGGGGGGGCAATCCAGTGGTGTTCTAGAGATCTACTCAGCACTGAGTATGAGTCCATTTGAGTTGATAAAAGCTTTTGTGGCTGTAAATTGATTGTATCACTAGCCCTAAATGTTCTGATATGTTCTATTAGTTAAACATTGTATTTTTGTTCTGATTTCTAAGATTCTTCTGACTTAAATATTAACGTCGATATATATTGAGATACAGTTATTTGTAGTTTATATACAGTATATTAAGTTTTAATATTTTTGCACAAGTGAACATAACAAATCCTACACGTTGATAGGTCAAATTTGACGTAATAAGCTGACATATTCATCTACAGCTGAATATAACAAACTGACAGAAATTTTCAAAATGGTAGCCTACGGTGTAGACCCCAGCAGAAACACGTTTCGTGACGAAACACGAAACGTGTTTCTGTTAGGGTCTACACCGTAGGCTATCAAAATGGCGGCTACCCGTTTTGTGGAAATTTACTCACAAAGAAATAAGCGAAATTAAAATAAATTCAGTCTAAAAAACAAACAAACAAAAGCTTGTGCATGTAAAAATACTAAAACAATTATTTATGGAAGCCGCGAAGGGACTTCAGACACTGAGAATAAAGATCAGTAACAGAAGGGCCACTCAGCGGTGCAACGTGTCGGCCAACATGCGTAATGCGACATGCGCGAGGACAGAAGCTTCAAAGCTTCCGACGTAAGGTGACCCTTCTGTATGCATCGATCTTTATTCTGCGCTTCAGACTTCGGACTTCGGAATTTAGACTTCAAACATTAGTTCCGAGCTTTTGCGAAGCTGGCTAATATTTCAGGCACCATAATTATATAGTCAATTAGCTATTCAAACTAAAGTCAAAAATGGTAAGAACGATTTAGATCTGTTAATGCAGACTGTTGGAATATGATGTTATATACAGCGATTTCAATTAAGGTTGTCCCCAAGCAAAGCGCCAAAGCCGAAAAGTCACCAATACGAGCACGAAAGGCCTGCTGGGAATCGCTAAAAAAATAATGAATTTTTTAGTAATAAAAAATAATAAATAAATAATAATAAATTTAAAGTAATAAATTTACGTGATAAATTTAATAAATTTAATAAATTTACAGAATAAATTTAATAAATTTACTGCATTAATAAATTTACGTGGTGTTTCCATAAACAATAGTATCATGATCAGATATGTTTTATCGCCCTGCATGCAAACCTACAAAGAACTCATATTCCAACAGTCTGCATTTACAGTCTAAATTGATCTTACCATTTTTGACTTTAGTTTGAATAACTTTGACTCAATAAGTGCCTGGAATATTAGCCAGCTTCGCAAAAGCAATGTTGGCTATTAGCGAAGCTCGGAAGAAACCAATGTTTGAAGTCTAAAGTCCGAAGTTTGAAGTCTGAAGTCCGACGTCTGAACTCTAAAGTCTGAAGTCCCTTCACAGCTTCCGTAATTATTCGCCTCAGGCTCGGTGATTATCGAGGATTATTATATACCAATAGTCAAAGTCGCATTTTTCTAGTGTTTTATTGGTTGAGAGCATATCACGTGAGAGTGACGAAATTAGGCTGTCTCCCTCGCAACAGCGCGAGAGGGAGATAATACGTTATCGACTGGCGAATACCAAAAAAAATCACGTGCGCCATCACGTGAAGATGCGACCTTTGGACATGCCTAGTACGTAATTAAAACTTTCGCTTTAAGTAACTGCAGTGTAGCCTTTCGCCTCGGGAAACATCGACGGTCGAGGGTCCACAAAACACACTGTTTCCCTCGGTTTCAGTAAATAAGTGATAAATATTCGCCTGGACTTCGTCTCGGCGAATATTCCCCGATAATCACCTTTGACGAATAATTGTTAAATAACTTCTTGAACTCTTTATTAATAATTAAAATATCAAATAAGTGACACGAAAATAGGCTTATGGTCGCTAAAGTACGATTCTAAAACACCACAACTTTTTACTCATTCAGGGATATTAGTGTATATGTGATCAACTTGTGTTTTATAGTCAGTTAATTATCACTTGGCTAATACAGTAAGTTGCACGTATTGCGTTTCTTCGATTAAATTATTATTTAGAAAGTGTATTTTTGTCGGATGCATTTTCAAAAGGGTATGATAACAGCTAGGAGTATTTGGGTCATTTATATACGTGGAGTGCAAATGTTTAAAGCATCTATGAACATTGAAATTTTAACTTTTTTACCATATCTTGTTTTACATTTAATCGATATATAGCTATAAACCAACCTTCGCCACATGGCTCGGTAACCAATGCATTGTCCATACATTTTGGAACTTTCGCTTTAGTCCGAGGCGAATCAAGATTATTTTCAATGGTCTAAGACAGAGCAAGATCCCATGAACATGTAACAAGGTAACAACGATTTCGCTATAGGACAATCCTTCCCGGAATTAAATTATCTCGCCCACGTGGATCTTGCACGATTCCGTCCAAATGAGAGAAGGTGTATTGTGGTAGAATTTGACAAGATGTAATTGAAAATTTTCCAGTTATGATGATCAAAATAAGTATATTCTCAGGCAAAATATAGCTCCTATAAAACAACGAGACATGATAGTTTATTCGGCTTACATTTTTTACAGGGACGCCGGAACTGGGGGGGGCAGGGGGGGGCGGCTGCCCCCCTTGCCTTTTGCTAGGGGGGCAGGGGGGGCAGAAGTGTCCTTTTAGTTGTAAAATAATACGTGATAAATCACATTTCCAACGATGCTTTTTGTAGGAAAATCACGAGATTCAGGTAATTTATAGTTTATATTTATAAAAATTTTGGGAAATTTTTGGAATTTAGAAAAATATTTTGAAGAAATGGGGAAAATTTAAGATATCCGGAAAAATTTAAGATATCCGGAAAAATTTTTGGCTTCACGGAAAATTTTTGTATGTCCGGCAAAAATTTTTGACCCCTAAAATGGTACACTGACCAAAAAATTTTGCAGTGAAAAAAAATTTTTCAGTAAAGGTGCCCTTGGTGTGCCTCCGCCCCCCTTTGCCCTATTATCGTTCCGGCGTCCCTGATTTTTTATATATGTCAATCGACTTAGCTCTGATTTTGTGCAATGTAAATATATATAACATCATATTCCAACAGTCTGCATGAACAATCTAAATCATTCTTACCATTTTTTACTTTAGTTTGAATAGCTTTGATTGAATAAGTGCCTGAAATATTCAGTGGCGCCGCCAGCTTGATAATTGTTGGGGGGGGGAATATTTATATATTTGTGTCCACAGACCATAAAAACAATCGATTTCAAAAGAAGTTAATAATGCAGAACACGAAGATATGAATATTCGCCCCCCCTAATTATCGAGCTGGTGGCGCCACTGGAAATATTAGCCAGCTTCGCAAAAGCAACATTGGCTATTAGTGAAGCTCGGACTCAATGTTTGAAGTCTGAAGTTCGAAGTCCGAAGTCTGAAGTCCCTTCACGGCTTCCGTAAAAGCCGGGTTGGGACTTCAGACTTCGGACTTCAGACTTCGGAGTCAGACTGCATGAAGTCCAAAATATAAGTCTGAAGTCCGAAGTCTGAAGTCCCTTACCCTGCTTTTACGGAAGCCATGAAGGGACTTCAGACTTCAGATTTTAGAGTTCAGACTTCAGACTAATTCGGACTTCAGACTTCGGACTTCAGACTTTAACCATTGGTTCCTTCCGAGCTTCGCTAATAGCCGACATTGCTTTTGCAAAGCTGGCTAATATTTCAGGCACTTATTGAGTCAAAGTTATTCAAACTAAAGTCCGAAAAATGATAAGAATGATTTAGACTGTAGATGCAGACTGTTTGAATATGAGTTCTTTGTAGGTTTGCAGGGCGATAAAACATATAATACTATTGTTTGTGGAAACACCACGTAAATTTATTATTTACTGCAGTAAATTTATTAAATTTATTCTGTAAATTTATTAAATTTATCACGTAAATTCATTACTTTAAATTTATTCAATTTATTATTATTATTTATTACATTTATTTATTATTTTTTATTGCTAAAAAATTCATTAATTTTTTAGCGATTTCCAGCAAGCCTTTCGCGCTCGTATTCGAGTTTTCCGCTTTGGCGCTTTGCTTGGGGAACCTTAATTGAAATCGCTGTATATAACATCATATTCCAACAGTCTGTATTTACAGTCTAAATCGTTCTTACCATTTTTGATTTTAGTTTGAATAGCTTTGACTGAATAAGTGCCTGAAATGTTATTAGCCAGCTTCGCAAAAGCAATGTTCTATTACCGAAGCGCAGAACCAATGTTTGAAGTCTGAAGTCCGAAGTCTGAAGTCCGAAGTCTGAAGCGCAGAATAAAGATCCATACAGAAATAAGGATCCATACAGAAATAAGGGTTACTTACGTCGGAAGTTTTGAAGCTTCTGTCCTCGCGCACGTCATTACTCATGTTGGCCGACATGTTGCACCGCTGAGTGGCCCTTCTGTTACTGATCTTTATCCTCAGTGTCTGAAGTCCGAAGTCTGAAGTCCCTTCACGGCTTCCGTAAAGTTTGAACCAATTTATAAATGTATAACTATGAAAAAGATTGCTTAAAAACGAACATAACCTGAGTATCAGGCCCTTCTGTTTTCATTCGCCAGGATTAAATGGCGGCTGCGAATGAAGGAGGGCCGATACAATTCTTTACCGCGGCGCATGTAAAAAGCCAGATTCTGGCTTTTTCGTCTGATTGGCCGATTAGAGAAACGATTTTTTAAATCTGTCATTTGATTGGCTGGTGCTAATTAGATATACTATTGTCAGTTGTTGATGTATTTTATAACGAACTACAATTATATCCAGCCCACTAAACGTCTGAATTTAAATTAAAACTGCAGTAAAATTAGAAAATAATCGCAAATTAGCGAAATATATTGCAAATGTAACTTATATTAAATCGCCATCAGATTGCACTATCGACTAACTGACGTATAGTTATAAAGTATACTTAATATATATATACTTTATAATT